CTTGTTTCACCACGGGCAAAGCGGCTTGTCAAGGGGGTTGGGCCTGGCGCAACGTCAATCCGTTTTTTTTGGTCAAGTTACAAGGCCATATCAGATTCGTATCAGTCGTTTTTTATTAAATGATCTTATCCTTCAGAATCCGATGGAAAACGAGCTAGCAGCGCGCCAAACCAAACTCACGCCCCATCATTCGCAGCAGACAAGACTGCACGTGTCCCATTCCGAAAATTCAACGAAGCAGGGTGCTGGGTGCATAACCATATGCAGTGTATGAGAAAAACAGTATAATTACAATGAAGGTTTCTCAAAGGGAAAAACGCGTATGTAGAAACTCTGCATCACTCATTCTCGCGAAAATCTGCAAACATAAATTGATCTTAGCCTAACGAAGTTTGGGGGATGCCACGTGCGCGCGAGGGCTGGGGGCGTACGATCACCGCCAACGTCATTGGTAAGAGGGCTGAGAGGGGTGTAGCCAAATCCCCTGTCGCAGCCCCTCCACCAATCACGTTGACAGTAATCGCCTGACCAATCATCGTGCCCACTACCTCTAACTAGAGCTCTATATCGAAGCTCTTCGACCTGGTTTGATCCAGTTGCCGCCATTTCCGAAAACGTCTGGTCCTGGTCTGTTGCCTCTGCCACCGTTTCCGAAACCAGGTCGACCATTCGGTCCTCCACCAAGAGGTCCATCAGGTCCTCCGGGTTCACCAAAAGGTCCACTAGGTCCTCCAAGGCCACCATGTGGACCAAATGGACTATGTGGGCCATGCGGGCCATGCGGACCATGTGGCATGAATTGCCCGAACACAACCTTCAGCACATGGAATGCCCTGTGAAAATGTACTTGAGAAGTAAGGGGATAACCGTGGTAATGGCCAGAATTTGAGCTTCAGTATTCATAAACCTTCTCACCTCAGGATTTTTAGCAGTCAGTTCCCTTCTCTTTTGCTTTTGTTGCTGTCGAGTCAGCGTTTCGTCTTCCATTATCGTGGAAAACGCTTTGAATGCTGTAGGTAAGTAAGTAATTAGCTGGTAGCATTCTTATTCACTTCCTTCATGTGGTCCTCCATTTTTTTTTTTGTCGAACTCTTGAACTTGATCCTGAAGAGTCACGAGTGGTGATGAATCCCTCATGACAATTTGGCAGGTCCTTCAATCTTACAAGTTTTCGCCCATTCCTCAATTTTCTCCTTTTGTTCGGCGATCGTCAAATTCTCGTTGCGCATGATTTCGAAATATTCTCGTACAGCATCTTCGGTAACATTTCTAAGATATGGTGGAGGTGGAGGTCCGTGGTGGTGATGGTGGTGGTGTGGTGGCCACCTAGCAGGATGAAATGCCATCACAGTGGCAAAGAAAAACGCTATAAGGACTATCTTCATTCTGAAAATACATGAAAATTTGGTATTGTGAATTTCAGCAGAGTTCTCAAGTTTGAAGAGTTGGAAGAAGGCTACGAGGAGAACATTACTCCAGCTTCACCTGAAGTGAGTGCCTGTTTGGAGAGCAAATGAAGAAGCATCCACGTTCGACCCTCCATGAATCTTGGCATATTGTGAGCTTCTGTCTAGATATTACTGCTAGCCGAAACCATGATGCATAACAAAACACACCGCCGGTACATTCAAGGTAGTCCATGTTGTGTTTTCAACCTATGGACAGGTTTCTGGACCCTTCCTGGTGCTGGCGGGTAAACTGCCTGAAGGTTTTGAAATGATGTTTTGAGGCCGACAGTTCCCCTGATCTTTTGATTTTTCCAGGCTTGACGAAGGCGATTAATGCCGGAACTTAAGGCACTTTATCCTGCAGATAAAATAAGCCTATGACCTTTCAAATGTGCCAGACGATCCGGAAGGAGATTGCGGAGGCTGCGCTACCTTTATAAAGTGAAAATCGGCAGGAATTCCGCCTCAAGCTAACCAATTAGGCCCATGGGCGCCCCTTAGGCCCATGTGACCCCCACCGGCTGCTAGCTACTAGCTAGTAGCCACTATGCTATCTCTCTCCATTCCGAATGGTGAGAGTGAGGTGATAAGATAAAAGAGCTGATATCTTCATGATAACGACGAGTGGAAATTCGTACAAACATGCGTTTTCTTCATTGCATGCATGTACAAGTTGGGGTCGATATGGAATCCTATTTAGGGCATTTTCGGCTGTTTTTCTGCTGCTTTTCTCCTCCGCCAATCAGATACCTAGCCCTTTTTCGTTCCTATGTGGGTTCCGTTACCCACAATCTGTGGTCGCCGGAGCTTTGCTATAAGCCAAATAAAACTGTTGTATCATCTTGGTTCGGCTACAGTAATATCCTAGACAGAAGCAAATGAAGAATTACTGTGCTGTCCTCGTGGTGACCACGTTAGCTTATATCACTCATTTTAGTGCCGATCTGTTGCCCTTTCAGTGCTGACCGTCACCGATGCACCTCGCTTGTTCAAATATTGGATAGTTTCGATGGAAACAGTAGCCATTTCTGCAAATACTGTTGGGCCCTGGAAAGAGAGTTCCTGCCCCCAGCTCTCCCAAGGAATGTCCTTACTCAGTGCTCCGGATGCATTGCCCTATGGAACACTTGGGAGCTGAATACATGTTTCGGCTCCACATATTTCACAGTATCCCCAAAGTATCGGTCATCAGGCAAAATATCCGCGGTGGATATCTCACAAGTAGCGCCGACCTCCGTGAAATATTGGCTCATTTTCTCACCCTGCACAACGAAGGAACTTAGGAACTTCGTGGCAAGCATGGCGGTGGACGGTAACGGACTAGGCTCCTAGCATCACACATGCTCGATTGGATCTCTCAAGGCAAAAAGCTGTATGCAGTGGTCAAAGAAGATATGCATACAGCTGGCTGTCAAAGTGCTGCTGGTGGGGCTTTAAAAAGGGGCTGGTGAATAATGGTGCAACAGTGACAACTAGCATAGTCTGCTCCAAATGAACGCAAAAGTCGCAAGTGAACCTCGCCCAAAGAGACCGAATATCTCCCTACTCCACGAACAACCGCTCTTCCACATGCTGACGAAGAAGGCCTCATGCGCAAAAGTGGTCGGATCTTGGTGGGAACTCGTGACCATACTCAGCTAACTTAGCAGCCCTAGCGAGCTCTGACTACCTATTTCTAACGGCTCGAATTTCTCTTTTGAAAAAAAATTTGACAACTGAAGTTAGCTCGCGAATGAGATTGAGATATTCTTCTATCGAATTAGCCGGAATTCCAGGAGAACAGAAACGAGGAACTGCCCATCACATAGTCACTTGCCCTAGGCACCCATGGTAATTTTCTTTTTGCTTTGATAATCTCCGTAGGAATAATTTATATTTTCAAAATTGACCTTTCCAAATATTGGTGATTTCTTCCAACCCACTAAATCTTATTTGTCTTAATCGTCATTGACGCTAACGATTTTCCGGGAGCCGGCTTTGATGTTATATTCGGAGGTTTTCATTGTGAATGCCAAGAGCTCACCGGCTTAGGCAGCGTTCAGACTTCGCGACGGCAGCGGCGATCGCGGCGACCTCGGCGATCGCAGCGACCTCGGCGATCGCGGCGACCTCGGCCGACCGCAGTACATGGCAGAGCGCGCCCAACGCTATTACTCCGGAGGCTTTTTGGGGAAAAGCGACTCAATTTCATGCTTTTTTCCTTTAACTGCAATTTTCTTAGATACTGAAGCTTGGTTTGACACAAAGAAAGGTGAACCCAACTTAATGGCTTTTGTTTTCTATTTTCTTTCTTGATTCAGGATAGAAATGAGCAAAAAGCGTGAAAGCTTCATTCGGCGGTGGCGATTTTATGTTTCTTTTTTCATTCGTTCATTCGGTTTTCATTGAAGCTTCCTGGCCAGTATATCTGCTTCTTTTTTTTTGTTGCATGTTTTATCTTTGCTTTTTCTTTTTTCAATTACAGTTTGCGAGGCTGCCTAACAATATTTACTGGCCTTTTCTGTTTGAGCGCCACCAGGTGCAGCTTAACATAAAATAAATAAATTCGTCTACCATTGAAGGTTATAAAAGTTTTCACCTGTCGATGTTGCGTAAAATGATTAGTGTTTTGGTTCCTAGGTGAGTTTCTTTCTGTTTCTTTTTTTCTTCGTTGTTTGAACTCGACTTGGACTATTAAATGTTGTTTGAAAGTTAGGCAACAGTTCAGACGATAGGAACTTTTAAGCGCTTGCATAAATTGAAACAATAAAAACAAAAGAAACAAAAAAAGCTCACCCAGGAAATGGAGTTGGCCTCATCCCGACCTAAAAAGAAGTGAAACCTCCTTACCTCATATTCCAGATCCGCTTATGTATAGAAAGTCGTAAGTTATCAGTTAGTAGCCATTATTAAGAGAAAAGAAGGTCTCACAAGTTGGATTTCCTTATTTATCAAGCGAGCAGTCCATAATAGCGTTGGGGCGCGCTCTGCCACGTACCAACGATCTCGGCGATCGCCGCTGCTCATGATCAGCCGAAGTATTAAAGCTTGCCTAGCAAGCGTTCCAAACTTCACGACGCGCAGACGCTTCAGTCGTTCAACGCGATCAATTCAGTCGAAAGCAGGCTCATCAATCGGAAGCGCCGACCGAAGCTTTGTCGTAGCGAAAGTCTGAACGCTGCCTTATTTCCTAGCGTTGCGCAATCACTTGCAACCCCATTTCCAGCCTTAGCACCGTCTACTTGATTGACTTTTTTGACAAGGAAAAAAAGCAGGTTCTTGGTCTGATCTCTGTTGGTTTTCGTAATGAGTCGAATTGGAACGTGACGAATTTTCATGAGTCATGGATAGAAAGGGTATTTCCACGATGGTGGCATATAGAGGAGAAAGCAGGTGAATTAACACATTGACTCTCACCTGCACTCACACGACTTTGTCACCTTTCACCAAAAAAGCGCTTTTTGCCAAATATGTGACGAATACACTGGCATGCATTAGCTATTTGAGCCTGAGAATAGACTGCTTGCCACCTACAGATGACCAGGGCGCCTTTACCATGAAATGCCACTAAAGAAAGAGAAAAGTCATGAAATGGTGCAGTAATGTGTTCCCAAAGGCACTGGACCTGTATGTTTCCTTGCTTCATCGGATTAGCATTCCTTGATATTTCTCGGTCAGAGACACGGTTTGCAACTTCGCCATCAGTCGGAGCGGCTTCAAGACGGATTCAATGAATCCACTCCCGGCGTTCCCACGGCTGGTTGTTCTCTTCCTGAATCGATCACTAACCAATCATCATTGGTAGGAGCAAAGTAGCCGAGGACGGACTCCTTCCACCCGTTCTGTCGTCACCTCGTCTGATTGTGATGGTACAAACTGAGATCCCGGTTAATAAAGCTCGTGAGAGGTTTATGCAAACCACCTGAATGATGTCTTAGACTTGTCATTGATTTTTTTTCGCGACTTTTAATCATTCCTGTTGTAGCGGGGCTCTCTATCACCCGACCTGTCTATCCAGACCAAGCGATGGTACCGCTACCATTTTTGCGACCTGGAACTCCGGATTCATCGGGATATGAAGATGCCAGGCTTGAAACGAGCGTTTGGAGTGAATAGGTAATCATCAGTGGCGTTCCATGAACAACGACTTTGTCCTTCCCTACAGTCCTTCATAAGCGGACAGCATCCAGCTTGTTGGACTAAAATAAGGAGCGTGCAGCTATGCCCAAAATCACCCTTCGTTCAATCTAGCGGGAATGTGAAGGAGCAAGCGCAGTCAGAACAGGCTTTTCGGCCAGTCGCTGCAATTTCACGGTGGCACTATTGGTGGAAAAGACCACCTTGGCAGCGCTGCAATCCACGCCCCGTCAGACGCCCTATCGCTCGCGGTGTCATGACTATATATGTATCAAATAATTTGTGCTCAAACGTTGAAAGTATAACCATCCGCTTCTGATTGACGCTTCCAGGAGTGTTTGACAGAAAACTCATACGGCGAGTCAAGGCCCTGCACGCAAAACTGTTTTTTAGTATTTCCAGTCAAACCCAGTACTGACACCT